TATATAAAGTTCTCTGTCTTAAGTTAGAGTTTAACACTTTTTACTTAGAATTATACAGATTTTGCTATTTTACATGGATTATTTTAGTTATTTTGAAAATAAAATGAGAACAAAATATATTTAGTTGCGTATGCAATAGATGGCGCCAGCAGAAACGATACAATTATTTAAATAGTTGTTATTTTTAAAACAGGAATATTATGTTAATAGTCTTTTTATGGGGGTTAGTCAGTTATTGTTTGATCTAATTCAATCTAAAACCAAAGTATAGGACATTTTAAATAAATCATCACTGAAAGCAGAAAAACGGAAACATTTGTCATTTCTTATTTTTGTGTCTCTTGTTCGATTAAGTTAAATTTTCTATTAGAATCTAATGAATATTGTTATTCTTTTAGCTAACTGTGATAAAGTATAAAGTTGACATTTATTTCAATATAAAAAATGCTTGAAAACCCCAAGGGGAGAACATATATATACTCTATTTACTATTAACAACAAGTCGAACATCGCGTTCCTTAGACACACCTTGTGCTTGATATTAACGTATTTATCTACATTGCTGCCATATATTATCAATATTGACTCTCTTGATGTGTCATATTTTGCATTCACTGTTGTGGGAAAAGTCGACAATACTTACCATCACTGATACAGCTTGTGCTCATCTCTATACAGGTGTTAAAAAATTTGGAAACGCTTTTGGAAAATAATAGCAGGGAATGGCATTTAACAGAGACATACGGATTGTAGGCACGTGTAGGAATGAAGTTTTAAAGATTTTATTATTATGATTTTTTACAGCACGTGAAAATGTGTGAAACAGCCTGAAAGTGAACGTCTGGGTAACAGTCACTCGTAACACTTTCATTGGTCCGTTCGTCTTCTTCTTTAGTACTGTAGAGAGAGACAACCGTTACCAGGAGGTTGGGTACGGACATGGGCGTCCACAGAAATGTTTTCGAGTGGGGCAAAGTCTTCTCGGGGGGGGGGGGATTGGGAAATGAATAAAAAAGTCGTATACACATGCTAAATGAATAATGAAAGCTTTATGTGTCTCTTTTTTAGGTGTGCGCAAGTGCCCCCCCCTCCCCGCTCAACTGCCGAGGCACTGAAGAGTAGTTTGACGTA